TTATCAGAGAGCACTCACTTTTGGGATAGTGGAGGGCGGAAGCCAGCGCCATCTTTAAGGTGCGGCTCCACGCAGCTCTCTACAACTGCATAATGCACATGTCCTCTAGTATCCAAAGGATTTGATCTGTTATAGATGTGTAGTAGTAACAATTTCTTGTGTGTGTGCATGTGCTCAAGTCTGTGTGTGTGCAGTGCATGTGTGTTTGTGTGTGTGTGTGTGTGTGTGCATGTGGAAGTCAGAGATTGACAATGAAAGTCTTCTTCAGTGGCTTATCCACCTTATTTTTCTAAGGCAGGGTCTCTCACTAAATCCGGCCCCTCCCCCAGCTAACCCTTTCTTATGAAAATTTCAAATAGATTAGAAATGAATTAAAAGAATACTGATTTCTACAGTGTTAGAATAAAAGTCCAATGGTACTTACAAAATTGTGTTCAACCAAAATCAATCTTGGAGCGCCACATCAGGTGCATACCTAGATGAAGAGCTGATTTATGTCACCGTGGAATAATTGGGACTTGACTTACGTAAGCCCTAGGCATGAGTTAGTGTACTAGAGACATAAAGCCAGGAGGGCTTGAGGGGTCTGCCTCAGAATGGTGAGCAGAGAGTACATCACACTTACTTTGCAAAACACACATTTGATTCTCTGTACCCACAGGGTCTCCTCTATAGATACAATCAACACCTCATCGAAACCATGTGGAAGGGCTAGGGAGAGAGTTCGGTTGGCAAAGCGCTTTCTTTTCATGCACAAAGGCTGGAATTCAATTCCCAGAATCCTCTTCTTAAGTAGAAGATGGATATGGTGGTACCCGTCTATGATCTCAGCACCAGGGTCACAGAGACACATAGAGATCTCTGAGGCTTGCTAGCCAGCTGCTCTAGCCTGCTTGGGAGGTTTCAAGCCAGTGAGAAATTCTGTCTCCTAGAAAAGGTGGAACATGCTGAGGAACAGCACACTGAGGTTGTCCTCTGGTTACAAACGCACGTACACACACACACACACACCACACACACACACACACAGAGAGAGAGAGAGAGAGAGAGAGAGAGAGAGAGAGAGAGAGAGAGAGAGAGCACAAACAAACATTTAGGAAAAAATGTGTTTGCACTGCATGTATACTTGCCATTACTTACTTTAAAAAGCAGCAGAACTGTTTACATGGCATTTATAATGTCTGGTATTAGAAATAATCTAGAGGGCTGGAGAGATGACTCTGTAGTTAAGAGCAATGGCTGCTCTTCCAGAGGACCCAGGTTCCATTCCTAGCACCCACATGGCAGCTGACAACTGTCTGTAACTCCAGTTCCAAGCGATCCGGCACTCTCACATAGACACACCTGCAGACAAAACATTAATGCTCATGAAATAAAAAATACATTAAAAAAAGAATCTAGAGATAGCTTAAAGTATACAGGAGAATAATCACAGGTCCTGTGCAAATGCCGTGGTATTTTATATAGAGGACATGAGTGTCCAGAACGGGGTTTCTCAGAGGGTCCTAGAATCAATCCTTTGTGGACATGAAGGGGCCGTAATTGGGGGCACTGAGTGCCAGCCTTGTTCTAAGGACTTTGTCCTTATCTCATGCTTAGACTTCAGAACTCCTTATCTCCTTATAATTGGAGGAAACAGAAGCCGAGAGATTTTGTTGCCCAAGGTCACAAACAACCAGTGTAGGATCCCAGAGCCAAGGCCAAACATTGGGTTCCCGGCTCTCCCCCAACCACTGTGCCCCAAGGCCTCTATTATTCCAGACGTGTCCGTGACCTCTCAACCCTGGCTCAGTTTGTACACAGCCAAGTATTCTAGTTTTATTTCTGTTGTGTGATAAAAAACAGCCTGGCAGAAAGCAACAGATGGGATAAAGCATCCATTTTAGGTCACATATCCAGGTTACAGTTCATCGCTAGAGGGAAGTCACATAGCAGCGGAGCCTGAGGCGGTTAGTTACCTCTCACCCGTGGTCAAAGGCAAGGAGAAATGTCTACATTTTCATCTAACTTTCTCTGTTCTAACCAGTGTAGGTTCCCAATAATAGGAATGGCCTTCCGGCTTTCAAGTTGGGTCTTCTCACAGGTAAGGCAATCCCCTGCAGACATGCCCAACCCGACATAGGAAATTCTTTCATGGAGACTTTTTTTTTGGGTAGATAATGCTAGGTTGTGTCTGACAATCATTAACACTAAGCATCATGTCCTACTCACTGGCTGTCTCTGGTCTAAGACCCCCCCACCCCACACACACACCTGGCCTCCTGACTCTCTCTGTCTCAATTAGGGCTTTACTGCTGGGAATAGACACCATGCCCACAGCAACTCTGATAAAGGACAGTGTTTAATGGGGGCTGGCTTACAGTTTAGAGGTTTAATCCATTGTCAATCATCATGGTGGGAAGCATGGCGTCGTGCAGACAGACATGGAGATAGAGAGGTAGCTGAGAGATTTTCCTGTGGACTGAAGGTAGCAGGAAGAAACTGTGAGCCGCTAGCCCTGGCTTGTGCTTCTGAAACCTAGAAGTCTGTGGTCCGATGACATACATCCTCCAAGAAGGCCATCCCTCTGGTACTGCCGCTCCCTGTGAATCCATGGGGCCCATTTTCATTCAGATCACCACACTCACTTTTGGAAAGCTGATGTGCTGATAGACGTGTGGCTCCCTTCACAAATTACCACAGATTAGAATCTTAAACAACAGAAATCCCTATCCCTTAGGCTGGAGGCTGTCTCAACTATCTCTCTCCTCGTAGATGGCCAACCTCTCTCCGTGTTCCTTCACATGGCTTGCCTCTGGATGTGTCATGAATAGAGGCTCTATTCATACTGGATCAGAATCCGTGTTAATGATATCATTTTTTTATGATATCGTTTTTAACTCAGTTATCTCGGTAAAGACCCGTTTCATCAGGTCACATTTTGAGGTGCTGGAGATTAAAAACCTAGCAAATGTTCTGAGGGATTTACAAGGCAAATCATAACACATGCCCACCCCCAAGCCAGTCTTCCCAACAGGGAGCTACTGCGCATGGCCAATACCAATGAAATTCATCCATCGGGGCTTAAGGTGGGACTCACCTTCTGTGAGATTGTGTGCAGCAAACAAAGCAGAAGAGAAAGACAGATGGTCATGAGGAAGGCAACTATTCATGTGTGTCATTGGCACCCGTTCACTTTGTTTGTGAGGAAACTGCTGACCAGAGAGGTACAAGAGCACATTTGGACTACATAGTGAGCCAGAGCAAGCCTGTGTGCACGTCTCTGGCACTGTGTTAGGGGACCTACCCATATGTTTTTTTCCCAGAAAACAGAGTTCATTATCCTTTCTGTAAGCCCCTGTTTCTGGCCTCCACCTTTGGAGTCCCCATCCCTGTGTCAAGACAGCCCGCCAAAATCTTGATCACTCCCCCAGTCTATTTAAACTGCTTCCCCAAAATGTTCTTGCTTCCTAGTTCCCCATGGGGGCCACCCAAGAGCACAGGAATTCCATTAAACCTGGATATTTTTTAATTTGGCTTGATTAGGATTTTTGGCTTAATTGAGATTTTTGCATAGGCAGAGAGCTCACGCTAGGAAAATTTCTAACACTTTCCTCTTGTAAGGATTCTCTACCTAGGATTCAATGGGGGAAAGAAAAGACCCAGTAATACCTAGGAATCTTTCACCCTTCCCCTGTAACAAAGGGTATTTTGGGTTCCCTTCTACTTTTACTCACACCAACCACTCCTTTGATGCTTCTTGGATATAGTAAAGTGATTTCAGGCAAAACTCAAAACCAAGGCAAGTCAATGTTACCTTTGAGTTTTCTTCCACTTGCATACAGCACAGATAATTGTGGCCATGGCTCCAATGAGTTAATAAACAGAGAGCAAAGGTGGGGGTAGGGTGGGAACTGACCAGATTACAGTGTCCTGTGGCTACAACAACCTATGGCAGGAAGGACCGAAATCAACTCATATCATTCAGCCTCCCAAGCTCTGCTTAGATACGAAATCTTTCAAGTTTACTTTCTAGGAGACCCACATCACCATTGCCTGTGCTATTGCCAATGATCCTCTTCAACTTTCCCGCCTTTGACTTCTTCTGTCTTACAAAGTATAAGAGGCACATACATACATGTTCAGTGTCCAGCCCACTAGAAACACTAACCCGAACAGCCACACACCAATCATGTGTCCTGTAATCGTCTTTGCAGGTACAAAAACATATACAGTGCAAGTGTTGAAAGAGTGATTGATGTGTCTCCTCTAGTTTGGTTTGATAAAATGCACGCTGATTGGATGCTAGCCTCAAAAAGCTTATCATCAAATCTACAATGTTTCTATATATGAGATGGAGAGATATAGCTCTCCGGCAGAGCCATTGGTCTCCATGAATCAGGCTCTGGGCTCAATCCCCACCTCTACAAAACAAGACCTTCATGTATGAATATGTTTTATGCTATACTATGTATATTAGCATAAAATTACATAGGCATATGTGTATATATATTTTGAATAAAAGAGAAAGCACGCACCATTTGTATGACTCCCACGAAGAAATGAATTGCCAAGGTCATTCTTCCTTTCCGGCCCTACCCTTGTTCCTCCATCACACACACACACACACACACACACACACACACACACACACACACACACATACACACACCCTACTGGCAGCATTATCACTGATTGCCCACTTTGGTTCTGCCCCTCACCTCACCTCCCCTGCTAGGTGATAGAGGAGGGCTCCCTCCTAGCACCCCATCACTGTAGCCCACTTGGACAGCAGCAAGTTGTGAGTAAGTGAGTCGGGCTAGGCAGCTTGGGTTGTGAGGACCTGAAGTGGGATTTGGAGGGAAGAGTGTCTAGTTCTTGGACATACTCCATATGATATTGGCTCTGCTTTGAGAGGCGCCCGAGAGAGCAACTCCATGCCTTCTGTCTTCTCCAAGTGGAAGTTTCCCATGGGGGACAGAATCCCAATCAGAAGGACACTTTATTTTCAAAAGCGGAGGGGCATAGCAGAAGAAGTTTTCCTTCCTCGTCCTGCTCTTCAGACTTGAAAAGACACGGACAGAGTCTACAACTCTAAAGATGGCAGAAGAGGGAGATTTGGGGGCCAGGGGTAAAAGAGAATCATAGCCATATGAAGAGGGGGAAAATGCCAAAGTAAGCAAGGAGCCCAGCCTGGTTTCCATGGTTACAGAAAAGGTGCCCCCACCCCAAGCCTTCTGTTTTCTTTTGCCCTTGCTTCCTCTTCAGAGCACATCCGGTACAGCTCTCACCTCCCACTTGTCATGGGTCTGCCAAGTGAAGAGAACAGCTAGTTTCCTCAATCAGTAAGGCTGGGCAGCAGGTTGCAGGCTTTGGCCCTTTCTTGTGCTGCACAAAGGAGCCTGCAGCATCTGATGAGAGGTCTTATCTGGAGGCAAAGAAGTGACGACAGCCTTTAGTGACTTCAACTTCCTCTGCTAATCAGTAGCTCTGACCCACTCCAAAGTCCCTCATCACTGATAATTTTAATAGGAAGATTTGTTGGGGGTCATTTAAAGGATGATCCTACATAGGAAAATCATATCAAGGGTTAAGGCAATTCAAGAATCCAAAGGGGGAAAAAAAGAGAATATATCTGATTTCCGTGAATGCCATTCACTTTATTTTCAAAAGCTCATTGAGAGATGACCTAAGCCAGTATCTGGACATGCGGCATCTCTTTGTCTGTACTGTTTTATGGGGTGGTGTGGAGCTTAGAAAGCTGAAATGTGAGTTCCCACCTTCTAAACACTCATTTAGATTCACATCTAAGGTTATTTTCCACTACTTGAAAGGCAACTGAGGCAGGCGATCAGTTTGAAGTGCTTTGTATCTGCGTGGAGACTGGTATGTGTGGCCTAGCACATACTACCCAGGGTTTTTAATTTAAGTTGCCTTTTTAATAACAGACATCAAGCTGGGGATGTAGCTTTGTGGGTAGAGAGCTAGATTCACAAACTAGAGACACTTTGTTTGATCCCTATCATTGCTTGAAATAAAGTGTTGGATGGACACACACACACATGCACACACATCATCCTAGACTACTCCAGAGGGAGGGTAGAAGCTAGAAGATCAAGATTTAGAATTTTCGCTTCGCTCCAGCAGTCTATAGGCCCACCTGAGATACTTTAGAACCTTTCTAGAGACAACAAAAGAAAAGTTAGATCAGCATCATAGTTTTAGGTCTGTTTGTTGATACAACCCTGGGTCTAGAAGTTCAGTCATCTTCCTGCAGTCTGGCATGCCAGAGAAGACAGTCTTTAAATACCTAGGAGATCCACATACTTGTAAATACCTACTCAGATAAATGGAACCATGAAGGCCTATGGTGACAATTTGAGTATCCTGCTTCCATCCATTCATAATTCATTCAATATACTCTATTTGAATATCTACACTTTGTTTCCTAAAATTAGCCTCAACTCATTCTCGAGGTTAGACCATGGTTTTGCTTGTTTTATGTTGTTATGGAGGTTTTGGTTGTTGTTGTTTTTTTCTGTTGATGCTATTTTTTGTTTTGTTTTATTTATCAGCAAGAAGACAGAAATTTTAAAACATTTAGATGCAAAATCTAAAGAAGGTTCTCATATCTAATGGGACTGAAAAAGATGGAGTAAGGATCTATAGGAAGGAAGCCTTCAGTAGCTCTGCTTGGACATACCCAATCTGAGATGTCCATGACATGTCAGGCTGATAGTTAACTGAAATCATGGGAGAGGTTAGAACTGGAGCTAAGAATTCAGAAACTATCAATGCATGAATATTTGCCTGCATGACAATGGCTGAACTTAACCTTGGGAATCCTAAGCTTGAGCCCCAGAGCACAATGTGAAAACTGGGAAATTATGCCAGCAGGCTAAGAGGAGAATAACAAGCTTGGGGGTCTGGAAAGCACATGTTCTAAAGCTGAGAATTGTCTAAATGCTCCTATTTGTTCAAGTAAGAAACGGGTTGAAAAGCAGCTGTTTTTTCTGGTTGGATGAAAATAGACCAGGGCACACTGGCTTGAATGTGATTGCAAAAGTTTGCATGGCAGAAACTCCATTCTGAAAACCCCACTCTAATGGCATTTGGACATAAGGTCCTTGGGAAAGAATTAGAACTAGATGAGAGCATGAGGCTTGGGTACCCATGATGCCTTGGTCACTTTCCAAAAAGAGAGACCTGTGAACAAACATTTGTTCTGTCTTTGGATGCCTTTCTCCAAGTTATGATGCACCATGGCCCTTATCCAGATTTCAGAGCCTGTTTATGGACTACTCACATTCCAGATAGTGAGTAAAGAACCATCTCTTCTGGATGAACCAACTACCAACCTCTAGTGTTTTGTTATAGCAGACCCAAACAAAGGTGGTGGTATTGGCAGTATCTATGCAGATGTATGAATGAACCCCTCATCAGAAAAGATGGAGAAGGAGAGATGGAGCAGATTCTATCTCCAGGGGACCACTTCTTTTATTGGGGAATGATCCTTTCATTTTCTCTTTGAACCTGAGCAGTTATTTTCTCTACTTAGCTTTCTTGTGGCCTGTACTGTAGAACACAGTGATGCCCTACTTGATAGACATCCTTCAGATTGTCCCCAAACTAAACAATACATTCCTTCTCAACTTAAATCTAATCAAAGCACCATTATCCAAATAAAGACATTGTCCTTTGTCCCACTCATCTGCAGAGCTGGGCTGATGTCCCGTGCAATCCTTATTGTCATACAATCCAGAGTAAAACAAGGTTAATTCTTAATGATCCTGATGCAATCCACAACCAGATTTTGTCCTATAAGAATTTAAATTCTTTCAAAATTGTAGAAAATTTAGTTCCATGTAATATCTAAACCTAAAGCTACTTTTATAGATTTCATAGTCTAGAAAATGGGAAAGTTGTGGTTGAATTATGTTCCTCTATACAGGAAAGCATAGTCCTAAAATATGCTGGAATGCTTGATGGGGTTTGGGTGGGCTGTCCCCATAGAGACGATAACACACCTAAGTGAGTTTAGATATTTTACCTGAAATCTGGCAGGAAACACTGCAGATACATCACTCTGTGATGTCTTCTCCCCAGCTCATTGCCACGGTTTATGTCCCCTAAGGACCATTTGCTTGGTCCACTTGTTGGCCTGTTGGGAGAAGAAATTTTGATGGAGGTTATTAGGTTATCAGAAGTGTACTCTTGAAGGAGATTCAGGACCCCTGATCATTCCTGGTCTTTACTTTCCAGATTATCAAATGATAAGTGGTTTTGTTCTACCATGAACTTCTGTGGGTGATATGCTATCTCACCAGGAGCCTGAAGAGTTGATGGTGGATCCTAGAACAGCATTCCCCATCACCACTTAATATTCTTTTCTTTCTGTCTTATTCACTTCCTTATTTATTAAGTTGTGACTTAAACTAGAGAGGCTGCAATAATATCTGTGTGTCTTCATAAGTATGAAGGGTACATGGATTGAATGGTCATCTTTGGTTGACAGAAGCTGGTTGTTTATTTCATGGCTGCTCAGACCTGAAATAATCACATAAAAACTGTATTAATTAAAACACTGCTTGGCCTATTACCTTAGGCTTCTTATTAACTAACTCTTTTTTTTTTTTTTTTTTTGGTTTTTCGAGACAGGGTTTCTCTGTGATTTTGGAGCCTGTCCTGGAACTAGCTCTGTAGACCAGGCTGGTCTCGAACTCACAGAGATCCGCCTGCCTCTGCCTCCCGAGTGCTGGGATTAAAGGAGTGCGCCACCACCGCCCGGCTTAACTAACTCTTACATCTTAAATTAACCTATTTATATTATTTTATATTTTATCATGCGGCGCGTGGTTTACTGGTAATGTTCCTTGGTGTCTGTCTCCTTGGGCAGCTACATGGAGTCTCTCTAACTCTGCCTTCTTTTCTCCTCTATCTCTGCTTGGAATTCTCGCCTTGCTCTATTCTGTGCTGCCGTAGGTCTAAAGCAGCTTCGTTATTAACCAATGGTAATAAAACATACTCATAGCATACAGAGGAGAATCCTACATCACCTCTTCTTTTCTGTCTAAATAAAAAGGAAGATTTTTAACTTTAACATAGCAAGATTATATACAACATATCAGTTATTAAGCAAGAATTATAGTTACAAAATTTAGTCCATTTACATTTGGCAAATTAAGGAAAGTACTCTATAATCTATCCTATCTTTTTTTAAAAAAATTTTTATTTATTATGTATACAACAATCTGCCTTCCTGTATGCTTGCAGGCCAGAAGAGGGCACCAGATCTCATTACAGATGGTTTTGAGCCACCATGTGGTTGCTGGGAATTGAACTCAGGACCTCTGGAAGAACAGTCAGTGCTCTTAACTGCTGAGCCATCTCTCCAGCCCTCATCTATCTTATCTTTGTGAGCCTAAAGTTTTATATCTAATCTATCTTTTATAATTTAACTATCTTTCTTCAACTCCATCAAAGACTCTAGAAAGTTATAATATTACCTAAGTAAACAAGAAGTGCATTATAAGCGACTCTGAAAACTGTAGAATTGACAGAGACATCTCGCTGCCTGGACAGTCACCCAAAGTTCTCTGTAACATTGGGACATCCATCTTCAGTCTACAGGCCCATAGTATTCAGCAGACTTTTCCATGAAGCAGGAAATTTCAAAGACAGTTCTGCCTATATTGGCAGTTTGCAGTCACTTTCTTCTGTTTCCTGCAGAATGTCTGGCAGACTCTTTCATGAAGAAGGAACCCTGAAGGACTGTCTCACCTTCTTTAAGCAACTTCAGCAGTCATTTCTCTGTGGGTCCTGCATGTCTAGTTTATACAGCTTACCATCAAGCAGTCCAGGTAAGAGGGGTTTCTTGCCCAAATGACTAGCCTTGTAACATTGAAGGCAAATTCCATAATCAGTTTTTTCAATGCCCATCAACCTCTCTGAAGTAATTCGTGTTGCCAGAAGCAGACATGTCTCACTTTCGAGAAAAGTCTAAGTTCTTAAAACATTTTAAAGACCATATTCTGTATGTCTTTGAAAGATCTTAAGAATACCTATCCATCTAAAAGACATCTCTGTACATCTAGAAAACCTAACTAACATGACTTCAAGTTTAATTATTATAAATGACTATCTGTTAATCTGTATTTTAATTATGTATTACATTTTTAAATGAGCTGCACAAACACAATATTTTTATCAAGAGCAGAAATATACATATAATAACAAAACTGACCTTAAATTTATATCAATAGACCAAGATCCATACCAATACAAAGTATCCATCTCTATAGCATATCCCCCTTTAAATGTAAGGAAACATTTATAAACAGTATTTGGGAATTTGGACATACTTTTCTCCAATCTGCTTCCTGCTTTTTTGTTGGGCAAAGTATTTTGGGGGGTTTACAGAGAATATTGGTCCATCAAACCACATTAGCCTGGAAGGAATCTACAGGTTCTCATCCTTTGTGGAAACAAAAGCAGAACCTCTTTCCTTAGACCCAAATTTTGAAGTCAAGGTACCTTTAAAATATATATGTTGGTTAGCTTAGCATCCCGTACAATGAAATGTCTCTCTGTACTTAGCTCATTTACAGTAAAAAAAATTCAAAGAAAACACAGTAACATACATAATCCAGACTCTGTATATTTCATCTTTACATGTTTTTTTCTTTTTTTACTCTATAACTTTTTTATAAGCATACAGAGGGGAATTTCACATCAATAAGGTATCTAGATTTGCTACAGGCTACTTCTCTACACTAAATATGCTCCAAAATTCTGCCTGGTCTTGAGTTTCTTTTGATGTGGACATTTTCTCAGTTGCAGGTAGCTACTGAGCTTGAATGGGAGCTGGCTTTAGTGAGTATGACAAGTCAGACTTCAACTGGGGAGATTTGGTTCCTATATATGCAGACATTGACAGAGTAGCAAATGTCTGGTCAATTTGCTCAACCGTACTCATTGTTGTATCAGGGCAGTCAGTCAATGCCTTTTTTTGGGTCTGAGCTGAGTCGCCTTACCATTGGTCTAGATTTCTTGCAAACTTTCTCACTTAACTTCTACACAATGATCTCAATGGTCTGTGAACTGCCGACCTTGGGGTACAGGGACACTAAGATTGGATTACAACCTTGCAGCACAACTTCAGAGGGAGCAAGCTCCAGTGCAGCATCTTTGGAGGTCTTCTTGATAACTTTCTCACATTGCTCTGGGTAAATCAGCTGCTGCAAATGAATGACTTTTGTGTGCTCATGTGTCTTCTTCCTTTTTTTCCTCATATTCAGGATCTCACAGCCTCTTAGACTGTCTTTGTGGACTCATTTCTTTGTAAATGGTCAACTGCAAGAACTGATATGGTGTTGTTCCCTGTGCCCAAGTGTATGGTTGTGAACAGAGGGCCTCAACTAAAGCCTATATTCCTGCACTAGGCCCGGGTTGTTTGTTCTCTTCATCCTTAGTGGAAGTCTTCACATGTAGCACCAAAGACTTCCTTAATTGTTCAGTGTTTGTCTGTGCCAATCCTTTTCCTTTTAGTGGAGGCTTCTAAGGAGCCCTTTCTGTCTACTGATTAGTGAGATGCCCCAACCATGACTTCCTTGTTTGAGTGATAACCTCAAAATGTTCCTCAACCTTCCATTTCCTCATAGTTGCAACTTTAGAGAGGTTTGAAGAATTCCCCAGAGCTAGTTTCCAATGACTTGGAAGTCTGAAAACTTTCATGAAGCCAAACTCGCCTCCCTGCCTTTCTCTGAGCCATCTGGTGGTTCCCTGGAAAATGACTGCTTCCACATCAACTCCCAGGAGCATAGCTGCCATGGGATATAGACTTTTGACAGACTACTGAATAGCCATAAATGATGGCATCTCAGCTTATGCTGCAACCACCTTGAGTTAGACAATGAAAACACAACCTTTTGGACTTTGTGTTTCAACTCGCTCACATGCTATCAATGATTCAAGAAATACAGTTTCTAATCGGTGCTAAGATGGTTGTTGAGGCAGAGATCTGAATGTCTGTGGATGCCAGGTAGAGATCCAAGGGTCGCCTCTTGGTGTGGGAGAATTGTCTGTATTCTGTCAATCATGTTTTAAATAAATGCTGATTGGCCAGGAAGTATAGGTGGGAAAACCAGACAGGAAATAGAAATGTTGCAATGAGAACAGAAAAATTCTGGGAAGGAGGAAGTTGATTCCTCTCAGTCCTGTGCAGACCACCGAGGAAGCAGGAGGTGACCTGTCAACTGAAGAAGGTACTGAGCCATATGGCAAAAATAGATCAGAATAATGGTTAATATAAGCTACAAGAGCTAATAAATAGCCTGAGCTAATGGGCCAATCAGCTTTATAACTTATAGAAATCTCTGTGTGATTTTCTTTGGGGCTTGCTGGCTGTGGGGTACCGGGCAGGACAGAAATCCCAACTAGCAGGCCTGTTCACTGTTACAGCCTCTGTATTAAACCTGTATGAAATCTGTCTCATGGGTTTCTGCTGTGGTCTTCTAATTGCAATACAAGACTTCTAATGACATCTGGACAACAAAGCATTGATATCAGGTGCAACCTCAAAGTTCCCTGGACCCCAGGGTGTTGGACTACCACTTTCTTGACATGGAACCCTTCTGCCAGGAGTTATAACTTGTCCAAGGATTGCTCCAGTCCTATCATAGAATTGAGCAAATGTAGCAAGTCAACAGGTGACAAGACAAGACTGACCCACTATGGATCGATGTAGCAACAGCCCCTAGCTGTCAATTGTAGTACAGCTTGGCTCCAGGGCTGCTGAAAGGAGCTATGACAATGATGAGTTCTGGACAATTGTCCAGTTCTCGTGGTAACTGCCATAGGGGTCCCTCTTAATTTTTTTTATAAGCTGATCATCTCAGGCACATTATTATAGATTTTTTTTTTAAAGTAACAAATCCAAAATCATGAGCAGCATATCTTCTTTATGAATTCAGGGTAGTTAAAGGAACATAAACCTTTGGACTCTTGAGCAGTTGGTCATAGTATCCAAACCCAATTATTATTCAGGAATAAGATGAACACCCATGGGGAGGCAGAACTGGAACGGAAAGGAGTTGGGGAACATTAAAGCTGGGAAAGGTGCGTCCTCAAAAATCATCCAGCGGGGACCGGGGCAGGAGGAAGAGGGCCGATCCCCATCTCCACCCATCCTAACCCAGGCCCTGTCCACCCCATCCCCCAGCTCTGTCTTCCCAAATGGAAACAAGAGCCTGTTAGCAGTGCTTTCCCATAAAACCTCGTGTTTTTACCTTTCTTTCTTTAAATGGGTGCGTGTGTATGTGTGTGTGTGTGTGTGTGTGTGTGTGTGTGTGTGTGTGTGTGTATGTGTGTGTGTGTGTGGTGCATGGAGCAGAGGGCAATCTTTGTTATTCTTCAGGTCCCATTTCCCCGACCCTCCCCCTTGAAACAGCCTTTCAGTGGAGTGGAGCTCATTGAGTAGGTTAGGCTGGCTAGCCCGCAGACTCTGGGGCCTGCCTGTTTGCTGCCCC